CATCATTTAGCCAACTCCAACAAACTAGTTTCAGAATATAAAAGATGAAAATATCAACCAAATGACCACTGTTATTGTTTTGCAGAATAAAATGAAGACACAAAGGTGGAAGATGCTGTTAATTTAAAACTGTTGGAACTAAGTTTGATTTGGTCTGGGTATTTAGGATTTTTTAATTATTGAAGAAATTCTGTAACATTCAATTTGACAGCTTATTGTAAATTATTGAATCAAACTAAAATAATGGAGCATCATGATTTCTTTTATATATTTATATATTAAATATGTACAAACCCAGATGTTTTTCTAATCTAACAGATGTATAATCCAGTCAGATGTCAGGGAATCAGGATGTTTTATTATTGAAGCCAAACTGTAGCAGCTTGTAAAAAAAAAGAATTCTTGTTCAGTTTCCATGAAATGCTGCGGTTGTGCATCCCAGTAGACATTCATTCAATCAGAATAAAACATTTTCAAGATGTTACAGTTTAACAAGTGCTGAGCTTAGACAGCCTTAAACCAACACATTCTCACTCCCAGAGCGTCAAAAACAAACGCTTGGTCAGCCAACCTTCGCGTCAGACCCCTGACGCCAAAATTGCCCTTTTTGTGCGAAAAGGGTTTTCCCTTTTCTGACTGCAGATCCCAATGCAGCATAAAACTGATGCGATTGGATGTCCGCAGCCAGGGCATCAAACAAACTCATTGTACCTCACCCTAACCTTATCCTCTTATTTAACCTTCCCCACACCCCTATCCTAACCTTAACCATCTTGCTAGCTAACACGTTAGTGATGTGTCGGTCACTCTAAAAGCCGGATCTATGAAGTGAATGGCGGGAGCCGCCTCGTCATTGGTCGGGTTTGGACCAAGGCAACGCGAAGGGGAGGTTTCAACTACCAAGGTGGAGGTTCAAAGTAGAGGGTACTTGTAACCTTCCCCTCGCCAGATGGTATGTTCTAACGTTCCCCTCGGGCAGCAAATACGAAAATTCACAGTCAGAATGCATGGGAAACAAACGCTTGATCACAGTGAGAGTAACGTTTTAGGTAGCAAGAGGGTTAAGGTTAGGATGAGGGTGACGGGAAGGTTATAAATAGCAAAACGTTAAGGTTTAGGTGCGGTTAAATGAGCTGGTTCGGTGCCGCATCAGCGGATATCCCATCGCGTCAGTTTTACGCTGCATTGGGATAGTCAGAAAAGGGAAACACCCCTTTTCGCACATAAGTGACAAAAAAGGGCACTTTTGGCATCAGGGGTCTGACGCGGAGGGTGGCTGACCAAGCGTTTGTTTTTGACGCGCTGGGAGTGAGAACGTGTTGCTTAAACAAATCCGTTAATGCAGCTGCTGCAACAACATCCTTGAAGTTCCTATGATTTTTTTGTTTTTGGTGATATCCAACAGGATCCCATAAGAGAACGATTGTCAGCTTCAGATGAGCAACACATCAGCGAGAGTGAGCGGTATTTATAGCAGCGATCACCTGAAGTGAGCGTGCTCTGACTTATTTGCTCTCGTGGGACACCTGACATCTTCTCTGTGATGTAAGCCTCTCGGCCCTTAAGTCCTCAGCTGTACAGGCACTTTAACCATACAGAGAGAGAGGGTTTATCCGTCAGGGGGGACCATTGCAAAATGATTTGTAGGTGATTTGATTTTCATCCTAAAGACTTATGTGGCTGCGTAAATAAAAAGCTTCCAAACAGACCGAGCACAGGGACGCCCTGATGATGGAGCTGCAGCTTAATGTCTGAGAAGAGAGCAGGAACCTTGCATCTGCAAGCTGATCTGCTGATGTCAGACTCAGATCATGTCATTTCTGCTTGTGTGATGCCACGTAAAATCTAGATGAAGAGCAAGGCATGTTTTCATTGTAAGGACTGAATAGTATTATTTTTTTAAAGGTTTCCACAAATTATCTTTTTATTATCTGCATGAGGTTCCTTCAGTTTCACATTTAGGGCCCTTTCACTATGAATTCTAGTCTCACACACACACACACACACACACACACACACACACACACACACACACCCTTGTTTCTCAAACCCAGTAAGAGCAATCAATTTAAGAGTGTGAAAGCCAATTTCCTCATTCATTACGCTGCATCTGTGCAGGGTTTTTACTAGAACAGCTTTTCTCTCCAGATGGTAAAAGCCTTCAAATTCATTTCTTGGATTAGACTGTACATATCAAACATCAGGTTCAAACCCTATGAGTCCAACTACTGTACATAGGGAACTCGTTCAGAATAAGAGACAATTTTTTAAGGAGCTCCAGTGAGTTTCGCTGCCAGTTCAGAAAAGAATGTGTGACTGAATAGCCTAGTGGTAACCTATGACCCTTAATGTACTGGTCTTGTTAGACTGGTGCTAACCACTTTTTTTCTAATTACCAGTTTCACACTCATTTACCTTTAACGTGTGTCCTGACTATAGTTTCTTGGTAACTCCATCTGAGAGAAACATTTAATGCCAACAGCATGAATCATTTCAGGGAAACACAAAGTTAAACAGAAAGAATAAAATAAATACAAATGTAGGACTTAAAGGCATACTATGCAACTTTTTTTCCAAATGTTAAATCATTTTCTTGATCCAGTATGTGTTCAAATGACCCTTTACAAGGTTAATGAAGAATCTCTCAAACCCCACCGCTCTCTGTGGCCAGAATACCGCACTTGCAACTTCAGAGTTGGTGGGCCGCTACCTGTTAGGTCCCACTTTAATCTTAAGCCGGGCGTACACTGTGCGACTTTTTCACTTTTTTGAGCCGATTTTCCACTCGTGCGAGAATCCACAAGATCGGGACGAGTTTTGCGCTGAGCGTCGTGTAGTGTACAGGGGGTTGGAGAGGCGATTAACACCACGTGACCAGCTACCGATCAGCAATCGAGAGCTCGCTGGACTTCTGGCGTGTTTGGTATTTTGCTCGTCCCTCGTGAGGGTATCACACTGTTGAAGCGGTGCTGCAAGCAGCTGCGACCCAAAAAGTACCAGAACCGCTCACGGCGCATGTGCAATCCTGCATCAACACCGCTCGCCCGCTATTTCCCTAATAACACACGTTGTTCATTTTTATTTCTACAAGTTTTTTTTACTCGCAAAGATTGTCAAGAAAGCGTGTTTGTCGTGTTCTTGTCAAATTAAACTGATCACAAAACACAGATTTACTTTCTTTATTTCGTTTTCCTCATCCAACCCCCATAAATCCCTGTGTGTCCTCCTGCAGCACTCCCGAAGGACAACAGGCAAGACAAAAAAGTCTGACGTGTTGTGTAAAAACTGTTATTTTTAGCATATTTTAGGCCCGACGTGTTGCTACCAGACGTACAGTGTGAGCAGTCAGGTCGCATCCGAGAACTGGGTCGTACAGTGTGAGCACATGACTCGTGAGATCTGCCCTGCGAGGAAGTCGTACAGTTTGAGCTGAAGCTGAGTGCTACGAGTGAAAAAGTCGCACAGTGTCCGCCCAGCTTTAGTAAAAGTGAAGCTGACATGGTGAAGCTGGAGCCTGCTTCCAGCACATTTCCTGGACGAATATTTAGAGATGAAACGCACCTGTAGAAGCTAATGAAGGTTGGGAGACATTTCAGCAGTCAGATTAAGCTGTTAAAACAACGAACGCACATCAAGGAGATAAGTTTCACTTTTGCTTTTATAACAGTGAATTAAGTATGGCCTCTAGGGGTGCTAAAAGCAAGCAAAACATCCTTGTTTCTCTTTAAACATTAAAAAAAAAGGTTTAATAAATAAACCATAGCTTGTTTTATTCTTATTTTGAGGAACCCTACCTGCAGGGTTGCGTCGCGTGACACAGTACACAAGAATTAGCAGCAGTTATAGTAGATGGGTGCGTTTCACGTTTTGGAAGCATCCCAGAAGCGTAGAGACATGTTGCTCAAGGTTCGAGTCTATTTTCTACATGCTGTGCTTCCAGAACATGTCAAATTCTGCAGTTCAGATCAGCCCAGATAGTAAGTCAAAGATGAAAACAGTGTAAAACTTATGGAAACCTTCAAAATAAAAGTAATGCACAAATTTCCAGTAGCCTAACCTGTAAAATAGGCCATCATTTCCTGTGAAACCATTGTAGCCATGGTAAAAAGAAAAGAAAAAAAAACCACAGACCTTTTGGATACATGCCACTGTCTGTTTCCTTGCTTGTTGCCAGGTAAACAGCTAAAACATGTAGTCCTGCAATGCTCCCGTGACCTCCCAGGACCAGCTGCGGTCGTTTTATGTTTGAAACACTTTCGGTGCACCTCTAAACTCACATTTCTCGTCTTTTCCGTCCACAAATAAAATGCTTGCTGCATATCGTTTTACTTCTTCAGTCACGGGTGAATAAATGTTCATATTTTCTGCGATGCGTTCTTCAATCTGTTCCACGTATGCCTCTGAAAAACTTTGATGGGGCAATGACAAATTTACAGGAAGCAACGTCCTGACCAATCATAAGCTTGCGGTCTCCATTTCTTTCGATGGATAGTTAAGAATTGGGTCATGTCTCCGTCTCCCTCTACAAGCTTGTCGGACAGCCCTTGCACCGATGCATAATGGCATTGTGTGTCTAGGTTATTAAACTACTCTATGTTTGCCCAGGTGTGTGTGAGTGTGTGAATGATTGTCGGTCTCGTGTGCCACTGTGATGACCTGGCGCCCTGTCCGGCATGTCCCCGCCTCTTGCCCATTGAGTGATGGAGATAAGAACCAGCTCCCCATGACCCTACAGAGGTTAAGCATTTAATGAAGCTGGTTGGATGAATGGAGTAATCTATGGCCTTGTTTTAGGATGGCAGTAATTTAATCTGAACTTGGCTTCCTTCAAGCAACCTGTAAGGTCGCCAGTCCAATAAGAACTAATCTGTTCTTTCAAATCGAGGCTGCTTAAAGTTATCTACAACAGGTGAGATACCAAATATTTTGAACTATTAATGGCTCACAAAGCCCTAAAGTGGACAACCTGGGCCATAACCGCATAAGTCGTGACTTCTCACCTCGTACCACGATGGTGGTGGACTTCTTGGCCGGGTTTCCCACATTGTTGCTGGCCACGCAGCTGTAGACTCCGGCCTCTTCTGAGGAGATGGCTGGCAGCGTGAGCGTACCTCCTTTCACCACACTCCTCTGAGGCAGGCTGTCATTACTGCTGACCCAGGTGAGGATGGGAGGCGGCTCTCCTGCGGTGGTGATGCAGACCAAAGACACCGTCTGACCAGGATTCACCACAATAGGATCCTCCACCAGCAGTTTGATCAATGGAGAAGCTGTTCAGGACATTTTTTTCTGTTATTTGTGTGCCTTATAAACTTACTTTACAGAAAAGTCAATAGTCCTATTGAGTACCTGTCTTATCAGTTAGCTGGAAGATTACACTGCGGTCAGGAATTCCACACACATTCCTGACAGAGGCAATGCAGCTGTAGTTGGCGTAGTCTTGAGGACGCAGGTTCTTCAACTTCAGAATCTTTGTTTCCCCCTGCAGCTCAGACCAAACAAAACAACGGTATGCAAATGTGTGCAGAAACATCACCATAATCAAGTAGAAGACACACTAAAATTTAGATCCTGAGTAAGGCCAAAGAGCTCCAAGGAAAGGTTAAGTTCATGAATATGCATTCTGTTTTCCCAACGACAAAGGGCAAAGATAAGAAAAAAATTAAGGGCATTAGTACAGAAAAAACACGAGATTGATGCTTATTTCTTACACAGAAAAAGACACTGCCAGTTAGAGGATCACTCCACAAAAAGCACCTATGAGCTCACCACTGAGCTACAGAAATGCGGATCAGCTCGGCAGGAGACCCCTCCACGAAAATGGCTTATCTTATTGAGAGTTTGGGTTTAATTCCAACTGAGCCTGTCAGCCACAAACCTCGCCCAAAAGGTTGTGATGAGGATGTAAAGCCTTTGATCTGGCTGACTCCAATGTGTGTGTGTGTAGACGGGTGAAGGAGAGAGAGAAGGGAGGCAGATTAAAACATGAGTCAAACACATGCTGCAGTGGTCCAATGGAAAGAAAAAAATGGCAGTCGCCAATGCCTTTCAAAGCCTTTCATATTCAAATTCAATTCAATTCAAAGATACTTTATTAATCCCGGAGGGAAATTACAGTTTCAGTACACACAATTCTGAGATCAGACATACATACATAGGCATAGACATGACAGGAATTGGTGACTGTAGTCATTCGCAACCCGAGTTGAACTACCTTACCTTACCTCAGTCTTCTGTGTGCCTCAGCCTTAATTGGTCTACAATTTGAGCCCATATATCCCTATTTAGCACAACTAGTCAACTATGTCATGTGAGACTTTCATACACCTACCATCATAAGTTTTAGAGATCTGACTGTAAGCTTAAGGAGAGACTGAGCAGTTTTCCAGTTTTGCAGACATACTAATGTTTGGCGCCTCACAGACCCACACTGATTGGTCAGACAGTGTCTTGGCTCAAACTGTGACTAGCTTTATCTCTGGTGATTGGTTGGGTGAAATCTTGTAAATCAAAGAGTCCGTGAAAAGGCACACACACATTTATGCTGCGAGTAGAAATGTCTAAATCAGGGGTGCCCAATCCTGGTGCCGGAGGGCCGGTATCCAGCAGGTTTTAGTTTGATCAACAGGCTTCTGCAGACCCTGATGAGCTGCTGCACAGGTGATTCAACTAACAAATTAAGTGTGTTGGAGCAGAGAAACCACAAGATGCGCTGGATACCGGCCCTCCAGGACCAGGATTGGGCACCCATGGTCTAAAGACAATGGCCCTATAAAGGGTTCATTCTTACCAATATCAGGAACATTAATAAAGTGACCCTGTGTTTATTAATGCTTAAAATGCACTAAGTAATGTTAATAAAGGGACCCTTATCGTGAAGTATTACCAAAAAAATATATTTATTGTAATGGTGAAATAAATTACAAAGTAGTGATTCATACTGTACTTTTGCAACAACCAAACAAGTACTTTATTATAAGCTAGCAACAAGTAATTTGAGCAGAAACTACATAGATAAAAAAATAAATATAAATTGGTTGTTGTGCTATGAAAGGACATATTTGATTAAATGTTTCTAATTCATTTATTTTAATGGCACATCTGCATAGTTATTATCAGTGGGGTTTTGTCCTGGAGGCTGTGCATAGCTGTCATTTTTCTACAACACTTAAATTAACTGTGAAGCGTATTTGATCTTTACCATTGCTCCAAGCTCTTCCTGTTCCACGTTAGGAAATGAAAGCCCTTGTGTGTGTGTGTAGCGAGACACTTTATTGTTCTCACGCCAACGCCAAATCAGTGAAGAAGAATGATGGGGTGACATCAAAGCTGAGTTAGTGTGTAGAAAGGAAGAAAGAACTTTACACTTCCTGTCGGTAAATGATAGAAACTCAAGGAACCTTTACAGACAGGATGTACTTACCAAAGAAAAAACCTTTCCGACCACTTTATGGTAAAGAAACACGAAATTCCTCTATAAATGCAATATACTGGTGTATTGCTGAATAACAATAAACACGAGGTAAGTTCTATGCATGTGGTGAAACCATCTGAGTTAGTAGGTAATAAATGAGGCTTGTTGATAGGTGAAGACATGGCCATTTATCTTAAACAAGTCTTGATGTTTAGTGAAACCATGATTAGGATAAATTAAAATAAATTAGGTTGGGGAAATACATTTTATTTACTTAAACTGTATTAAAGCTGATGTTTCAAATTTGTAATCAGATTTGTTCTTGGTGTCCGGCAATAAGCCATGTCAGGCCTGTTATCCAGAAAACGGTAGTTGCATAATAAGTAGATTTAATTTTTTAAGGGGGCTGTCTATCTGTTTTCTTTTATCTGATAATACTCACACCAGAGGTTTATGGTGGCTGCATCATTCTCCCAATGGGCATGACACTGCCTGGCCGATTATTTTTTTCAAAAAGTCACCACTCCAATATTTAGTTGACCTGCCTTTAGCTTTGATTACGGCACAGATTTGCTGTGGCGTTGTTTCAATAAGCTTCTGCAATGTCCCAAGATCTTGCATTTATGATTTTATGCATTTAGAGTCTGACCGCTGCACAAAGCCTTCTCCAGCACATCTAAACCCCTCTCAATGGGGTTAAGGTCTCTACCCTGTGGTGGCCAATCCATGTGTGGAAATGATGTCACATACTCCCTGAACCACTCGTTCACTATTTGAGCCTGACGAAACCTGCATTGTCATTTTGGAATACGCCCGTGTCATCAGGGAAGCAAAAATCCATTGATGGAATAATCTGGTCCTTCTGTATAAGGGCATAGAAATTGGGGGGTAAGGGTGGGATGTGTCCCTCCAAGTATTGCAGAAACTCGTAGTCCCCCCCAAGAAGTGGAGTTGAAAAAAAGTAGGATTTCGAAATATTTTACCAGTTAGCTTTTATTTTGAAGGGCACATCAGTCCTATAGCAATCAAGACACATACTCCAAACGGATATATTGTCCAAAAGGGCCAATTTTCACGTATATATTGACCAACATAATAACCTTTCTTCTACAGAAAAAAAAATCCACTTTCTGTTTGGCCTTCCAAGCCCAGAAGGATCTGTTCAGTGCGTGTTTACATACAGAAGACAAAACATCCAGACAAACATTCTCTCCCAAGGTCCTACACTCTTTGCATGAAAGCCAGACATCAACATTCTTCACTCTAACTAAGGGAAGACTACTGACTTTTACTACTCATAAGCTTACAATAATCATATGTGATGAATGAACAAGATGTTGAAATGAAATGTTTGAATAACCTGTGCTTAAACCAATGATGGCTTTAAAATGAAAATTGTTCTTACAATGATCCATTTATGCCACAAATCACTATGTGTTGGATTTAACAAGTTAATCATTGTTTACACTCATACACATTACAATAAGATACTCATTAGGTTAAAGTGCACCTCACATAAGGTTTTGATCGTTCTCATTAACAGTGTTAAAAACATCTTTGTATCTGAGGAGGGCGTGGCTTTCTCAGGGATGTTGGAAAATACTCAGAAACGTGTCAAATTCTGATTGGCCAAACTTGGCCCGAAATCATATCAAAGTAGTTTAATAAAACAAGACTTACTTCCTGAATAATTCAGTTTCCAGCTGACCCCGATATGGCCAAATCGGGAAAGAAACATTTTTGAAACCATCTTCTCCTTTGACCTCCAGTCAAAGCCTCTCTGCTATTCTGCAGCTGATTCCAGACAACCAGCTCTTCTAAGAGCCACACAAACATCCTCCTTAGATGTAAATAAGCATTCCAGCTTCCTGCCTTCACCTCGAGGGATCTCAGACTGGACGGGTCCTATTGGAACTTGCTATAGGTTCCTGATAACAGAGGTTCACTCCACCGGCAGTGACCCTCACGACCCCCTGGATCGAACGAGAACCTCCACACCAAGGGTGCGTAGACTTGGCAAGACAGATAGCATCTGATGCCGTTTTTAATAAACAACTCTCTAGTTTATAACAAACGACACATTCTTTTACACCCAGATTTCACAATTTCTCTCAAATTCAAAGAACGATTGCTACAACATCTAGCTTCCCTCACAACACCTCACATCCACCACGTCACATCTCATTATTCATATCTTGTCATGTATAAATTATTAGTTTAGGAAAAATAATTAAATTAATTTTATAAACTATATACTTGACTCTGTCTGAATTAGTACGAAGTGTGTTTATGTTCCTTAAAGAATCTAAGAACCCTAGAATCTTCTGACATCACATCTTATTGGTTGTAATTAATATGTTTAAATTGCTACACGGAGTTTAAGATAAAAAGACTGCAGCAGCTCAGTTTAAACAAGTTCTTTCTCGTGGAGGAGAAAAGAAAGAAAGAAAACGTGTTTTTCTCTTGGAGGATAATTGTATTTTCTCTCCAACGTTTGGGTGTTGATGCTAAAATGATGTTTGAACATTTTGGTATGCTAACACAAACAGGAAGCTATTTCCAGTAACAGACAAAAATAATTTAACACGAAATACAGTAAATAAGATTGCTGTTAAAGAATCATTTTCTATTAACTTGATTAACCCGTGATTGTGGTTGGAAGAACTCCAACAGCTCCAATCTCTTAAATTAGCCACAGTTCATCATTTATAATTATGAACATTTACACCATCCTCAGTTTAATGTTACATACCTATTTCAACAAAAATCCTGAGAAAATCCTGCTGAACTAAAACCAAAAATTAGGCATTTCAAGAATCCATCAAAAAAGAAGCAAAGTAATATTTATTCATAACTTAACACAAACTTCTGAAGAGAATAACTATTGGAATAACTAACCATAACCCTAAACATGTAAAGAATTCATTAAAACTGTTAAACCTTTTATGGAAAAGAAATTGAAAAGTGGCACCATAAAATTTACATTTGATTTAAAAGTTCAGGTTTCTCTCATTCCACATCTAATAAATTCCCCAAAGCCCTCTACATTCACATCGTGATGAAAAAATACA